ATACTTGGGCCACAAGATGGAGTATCTAAATTTAAACATTAAGAAAAAATCTGAAAAAGTTGTGAGGTGGTAGAGCCTGACTGCGGGTTTGATGCTGCTGCTTCCGTGCAACAGCTGTGAGACTTGACACAGGACACTCTACTTCTCTGGGTCCAGTGGTTGGTGCTGTGAGACTCAAATAAGATAATGCGTTTCAAGTACTTAGTATAGAGCCTGGCATATAGGAAGTACTCAATGCATACTAGTTATTGTAATGTCATTGAAGTTCTCTGAGATCCCAGCCTGATGAGGATATAAAACTTTGTAATTTGGTTTTCCTGCTCTCTGTTAACAATACAACCTCTAAAAGTTGGAGTTTTGAACAGTAATAAACTGTTACTTTATAAGTATAAAGTTTGAAAGATATATACTTGAAAGTATATACTTTATAAGTTTGAAAGATATGAAAAATTAGACTTCAGGAATGCCTGGGTGGCTCAGTTGGCTAGGCATCTGCTTTCGGCTTGGGTCCTGATCCCCGGATCCTGGGATTGAGTTCCACATCAGGGAGCCTGCTTCTCTCTCTGCCTGACACTCCCCCTGCTTGTGCTCACTCGCTCTCTCTCTCTCTCTGACAAATAAATAAATAAAATCTTAAAGAAAAATTGGGGTGCCTGGGTGGCTCAGTTGGTTGGGCGACTGCCTTCGGCTCAGGTCATGATCCTGGAGTCCCGGGATCGAGTCCCACGTCGGGCTCCCTGCTCAGCAGGGAGTCTGCCTCTCTCTCTGACCCTCCCCCCTCTCATGCTCTCTATCTCGTTCTCTCTCTCAAATAAATAAATAAAATCTTTAAAAAAAAAAAAGAAAAGAAAAATTGGACTTCTAATTAAAGACTTTTGTGTATCAAAGGACATTGTCAAGAAAGTGAAAAGACAACCTATAGAATAAGAGAAAATGTTTGCAAACCATACATCTGATAAAGGTTTAATATCCAAAATATATAATGAATTCTTACAAATCAATGACAAAAATACAAATAACCTGATTTTAAAATGGACAAAAGACTTGAATAGATATTTCTCCAAAGAAGATATACAAATGGCCTACAAGCACACGAAAAAATACTCAATGTCATTAGTCATTAGAGAAATGGCAAATCAAAACCACAATGAGATACCACTTCATACCCACCAGGATGGCTATAAAAATTAAAAAACACACAAAACACACACACACACACACACACACAATCCCCAGAAAGTAACAAGTGTTGGTAAAGATATGTACCTTGTTGGTAAGAATTTAAAATAATTCGTCTGCTGTGGAACACAATTTGGTGATTTCTCATGAAGTTAAACATAGAATTACCATAGGATCCATCAATTCCACTCCTAGGTACATACCCAAAAGAATTGATAACAGGGGGGCACTTGGGTGGCTCAGTCAGTTAAGTGTCTGCCTTCGGCTCAGGTCATGATCCGAAGGTCCTGGGATCGAGTCCTGCATCGGGCTTCCTGCTCATTGGAGGGCCTACTTCTCCCTCTCCCCTGCTTATGTGCTCTCTCTCTCTCTAATAAATAAATAAAATCTTTTAAAAAGAATAGAAAACAGGTATTCAAACAAATACATGTACATACATGTTGATAGCAATACTGTCAAACAACAACCAAAAGATGGAAACAGCCCAAATATCCACCAACTGATGGTTGGATAAACAAATTGTGGTATATATATGCAATGGAATATAACTTGGCCATAAAAAAATAAAGTATGATACGTACTACAATGTGGTTGAACCTAGAAAATATGCTAAAGTGAAAGAAGCCAGACACAAAAGATCACATACTGTATGATTCCATGTATATGAAATATCCAGAACAGGGAAATTCAAAATAGAGACAGAAAGGGGATGGATGGTTGCCGAGGCTGGGAGGATAGGGGAATGGGGAGCAGCTGTTTATGGATATGGGGTTGTGAAAATGTTTTGCAGCTAGATAAAGATGGCAGCATAACAACACTGTGCATATTCTAAATGCCACTCAATTGTTAAGTAGCTAATTTTGTTATGTAAATCTTACTTCAAAAATATATGAAAATACAGTGCTTCTTTTGTAAGGATATTAGCATTACTGCCTTTCCTAACAAATCGCTCCTGTTTTATACACCTGTAGCATCTGTCTCCTCCATCTCAGCATGCTAGTCCTTGCGTTCTACCAGTTTACATACACATCTACTACAGGGGTCAGTAAACTATGATCCATAGGCCGGATTTGGCCCCCTGCCTGTCTTTGAGTGGCCCACAGCTAAGAATTGTTTTTTATGTTTTTAAATGGTTGAATAAAATCAAAACAAGAATATAACACCTGAAAATTATATGAAATTCAAATATTAGGAGCGCCTGGGTGGCTCAGTCATTAAGCGTCCGCCTTCAGCTCAGGTCATGATCCCAGCGTCCTGGGATCAAGCCCCGCATCAGGCTCTCTGCTCGGCGAGAAGCCTGCTTCTCCCTCTCCCACTGCCCCTGCTTGTGTTCCCTCTCTCGCTGCCTCTCTCTGTCAAATAAATAAATAAAATCTTTAAAACAAAAACAAAAATAAATATTAGTGTCCATTCATAAGGTTGTATTAGAACATGGTCACTCTTACCCTTTTATGTATTGTCTATGGCTGCTTTCATTCTACAGTGGCAGGGTTGAAAAGTTAACAACAGAAATTATGTAGCCAGCAGAGCAAAAATATTTATCATTTGCTCCTTTACAGAAAATGTTGTTGACCCCTAAACTACTAGATTATAAACCTCTATGGGTGGGGGGTGGTCTCCCAAGCACCCAGCCTTATAGGCATCTATTCTAGAGGTTTGATAAATGTCTCTTGCTTTAACACCACTGTAAATGTTTTAGTATTCAAATGTGTGCCATGTGATTCCTGCTTCTATATGCTAATAAAATTGAAAGCACTAATTTCTTTATATTTCTACAAAATTTGACACTTACTTAGTTTGATATTTAGCATATGAATTGTACAAAAGATTTTTTTAACAGAAACTCCATGCTGCAATAAGAATTTATCATTCCCAAAAAGAGAAGTAATTTTGCAGTCTTTTAAAAAATATATAAAATAGTTGTTCATGTTGAAATCTTGAAAATTACACTAATGTACCATTCAAACTTTAAATGTCAGTACATAAAACTATGTTAGTTTTCTAGCACAAAAATAAATTAAGGATTAAAAAGTTCTGATCCCTAGCTAGTATTGCTTCTCTTGGGGATAAATTCAGAACTAGTATAGTATTAGTTTTTAAAAACTTCCAGATTTAATATTTAACTTATTGGGACAAATGGAGTTTTATAACCAGTTTTACAGTTTTAATATAGGTGAAGTGAGAATATAGGTAAAGATGTAACCACTAAACATTCCTGGAGTAGATTTGGGGGAAAAAAGAAGCCAAAAAACTCAAAAAACAAAAACCGTAGAACTAAGTTTTTTCCCTTGATTGTAGGTGACAAATGAGCCAGAATCTTTGTAAGATAAAATGGTACTGAGCAGAAATCACTTAGGTTTCTTGGACATTTTTCTAGCAAAATTTTTTTGTCTCTGACTTTTAATATCCTTCCTTACTTCCATCTCCCTGTTTTGCTCAGAAGATTATCTGGGTTGCATGGAACTGTCGGTCTAATCAATCAAGTAATCAATTCAGTAACATCGATGTCATATGAAGAGTATGAAGAGTAGCTTATTGGGAGTCCAGAGATCACAATGTGAAGCCAAGTGACCTTGGATCTGTTCTTTGAACTTTCTATCATCCATGATGAAGAAGGTGATTCCATGGTTTCTGAGAGTCTTCCATTCTAACATTCTAGGAGGCTAAATAATAAGTTACATTTATTTTTGACACTTGTGATTGACAAGTTATTCAGTGGATTTGGGTGAATCACATTTTTTATAGCAATATATAAATTTGGGCCTTTGTATTTCTTATTTCTCAAATATTCTACATTCACCTATTATGAAGTAGCCCTATATTTAATAGGACAATATGAGTTTTCAAACTATGAAAAGGCCATACAAGTGTAAGTTATTACTGTTAAATAAAATCACACAATGTTAGAGCTAGAAGGGTCTAGAATTCACCTATGTGACTTTTTCATTTCACAGATAAGAAAACTGACAGAGGTCCAGAGAGATGAAGTGCTTTTCCATTACTCTATGTTGCCCCATTTATGGTTAGGAATTGTATTCCAAATCCTTGCAGTTCCTGCAATATTTGCCTATATTGGCTTTCTCAATTATAACTTTTTCAGGCAATAGTCTATTTTCCCACACTCTTAACTTTCTTATTCCCATGGCTTGATTTCAACCTAGTCTGTATGTCTGCAAAACACTGCCTTCTCTGTTTAGGCTTATCAAATAGTGGCATCTAAGTAGTGTATTTATATTTCATCCAAGCAAGAAGTATATAGCTGATTAGAATTCGGGGCTAATAACTAAGATGAAGAAAAAGAAACAAAGATGAAATATGGGGAAAATCTTTGCTTTATTTGGACCATTTTGATGTCAGATTTTTCTTCAAAACTATGGTTTTGTATAAAGGGACATAAATTAATCTGTCAAATTATATCTTGTTAACAAAAAAAAAAAAAATCAACAATAGTAAGATACTCCTGGCAAAAGTCCATTCATTCAGTCATTCAAAAAATATTATGGACCACTATAAATAGCAAGGCAAGGTAGGAAACTCTGGAAAACACAAACAGAGTTCCTTCCTTCATAGGAAGGAATTGAAGAAATAATGATAATAACTTACACTTATTGAGTTCTTACTATATGCCCTGTGCTAAGTGTCTTACATGAATGATCTCTTCTGATTGATCTTTACACAATATGTTATATGTTATATCCTATTAGATTTTATTGATGTCAAGTTTAAATGAGATCCTGGATAAAGCATCTAGGACAGTGCCTACAGCATATTAGATTCTCACAAAATATTAATTACCTCCCTGTCCACCTTTTATTTTACAGAAGGCATCACCATGCTTCCTTCTAGAAAATATACAGTGGATTTCAGGCTGATTGAATGATACAACCAAAAAGAATTAGCTGATTGATCATAAGAAAAACCCCCAAATCCAAGGTGCAGCTTGAACAGTGGAATGAAGTTTGGCTGAAGGCAGAAATGGATGCTCATCTGAAGGAGACAAAGGCTGATAAACACAAGGGATGCTTGGAAATGGGAGGTAAACATAGTGGCTGTACCATACAGAGTTGAGACAAGAAGAGGTCTGGGCTCTGCTTAGTAATGGAAAGGCTCCTGCAATCGGGGGAGGCCTAAGTCCAAGGAACACACTGAAGAAAGTGTGGGCAGAGGCACAAATGACAGACTGGAGTCTGGCTCATGATGCCCCAGCCTAGAGCCTTTACAGCATGGCTTCCAGAACCACAACAGAACAACACACTTTCCACAGAGATGGGGAGGAAGTTGCTAGAACAAACACTATCCTGAAACTTGCCCCAAATCTGAACCTAATCAAACCCCAATGTTTTCTTGAGGTTAGAAAAAGCCTGGCTTAGCATTTTTAAAACAATATCTATTTGCCTTTTGTCTCCCATTTGCAGCCAGAAGTGGAAGTTCTAAAAACCCATTAAAAACTTTGGGTTTTATTTTGTATTTATTTCTTTACTATATGCATTGACTAGCCAAAACCAGAAAATGCTGGAATAGCACAAGTTCATTCTCCTGAGATATCGAGATCAAAGTCGTTTGGAACTGCCTTGGCTAAGCAACTGAATTTTTCCCTTCTTATCCAAACCAATGCTTTAATCCCTCACAATTTACTCATATGCATCCACCTTCTCAAGTGTTCTGAGGCATTTCTTTCAGCACACACGTTGGCCTTCAAAGGGTAACAAGCAATTGTGTGCTGGCAAAAGCTATATTTTCAAGTTCATACCTCCCTACTATCATCCAACAAAGAGAACAAGAACTTCTGGCAACTTTGTCCACTCTCTCTAAATTCTATACAGAGTGAAAATACAGGAAAGGCAATGTCAAAAACCCTCTTGCATAGAGATTTATTATGTTTGCAGTTCGTTTTACACTGCTAAATTATCCTCCCTCTCATGTTTAGAAATCACTTTGACCAAGTAAAATTTTAAGGCAATTCATGTCATTCAACCAGCAAGTTTACCAGAAACTGGTCTCGTTTTTTTCTCAAGGTCTTGAAGAGATATCTCTTGGGTGTCATCCAAATCTGCCCTATCTGAAAAGTAGCATTTTTGTTGGGTAATCAACAATTTACATTTATTGCACCATACGTCACCTTACTTCTAAGTGACTTTGATCGATAGATGCATTATCTTTCAGGAAATTATTGAGAGTATTAAGTGTTACATGTCACAATCTTAATCTTGTCTTCATTAAAAATTTTTCAGTTTATCTATGGTAGATTTTTGCTATGGAAATTCTTATCTTGATGTTTTTCCCCATGCACTACAAGAGCAAACTAGAGTTTGTCTTACCAAAAAGTCAATTCTTGAGATGCCTGGGTAGCTCAGTCAGTTAAGCATCTGACTCTTGATCTCAGCTCGGGTATTGATCTCAGGGTCATGAGTTCAAGCCCCACGTTGGGCTCCACACTGGGCATGGAGCCTACTTAAAAAAAAGTCCATTCTCAGAGAACAATTCCATCATTTCAATAAGATGAAGAAAAGTTATGATGTGATCCTACTCAAATCTGCTGAGAAAACATTGTAGTAATGCCCATCCTTGCCTATGACCTACTTTAGCCTCAGCTCCTCTTTGGGTATGAGTATTTCTTCAAGGATTTTATACAGCCTTGGCTATTCCAGTCTGTGTATTTGAAGCCGTGTTCATTAACACAATCTTTTCCTAATGCCAAATGAAAAACATGTTTATGATCAGATAGATGAACTTCTAAGGTCAGCAACCCTGTCTCAATTTCTGATGTTTCCAAAATATACAAGTGATTGTTTAGCTTTATAAACCTTCACCTGCTTCTTCCTTTCATGTAATTTGCCTTTGTTCAGTTATTTTGTGCCACCCCTGGAGTGTTTTCAAATATATTCCGAACCCCCAAGCAACCCCATTTCAGCTGATTGACTTCAGAGAACTCTAATGCTGGCCAGGCATTTTGCTGCAACCCCATTTAGACTCAGCAGGAAGAGCAGATTTAAAAGGCAGATTACGTTTTTAGCTTTTTAAAAACTGCTTTATTAGAGAGGCTAAAAGCCACAGTGGTGGTAAGCTGAATTCTTTTGAAATACATGCAACTTCAAGACATCTAGGGAGCAGTTCCTTGCCTGTGGAGCTCCTCCCTTTGGGTTTCAATGATGGCAGGGACCAGCTGATTTCAGGCATTTTTCTTAAGGGTCCTTGTAACTCCAACAACAGAATTCATAAAAGCACCAAAGAGCTTTCATTTAAGGGTCGGAGACCTTTGAAAAGCAGCTCCTCGAGATTCCCACCCCTAGACTTCCGGCAGGCCACTTTGTGTGAAAGGATTGGTTATATACTGGCCTACATTAATTATAGGGGTTGGCCAAGGGACAGTAGGTAGAGAACCATGGTGAGGATGTAAATAGCCACTTGGAGAAGAAGAGAGAATACCTGTAGGTCTGATTCCTATGGCAGGCAGCTAGGAGTCTAAATGGATAGATATATAGATTGGAGATAGGGAGATAGATAGCCGATATAGATGATAGATAGATAGATAGATAGATAGATAGATAGATAGATAGATAGATAGATAGATAGATGGTAAATTGGAGGCCACAGTAGTGGCTACTGCTTCACCTGTCATCTTAAAACAAGTGCTACAGCTTATCAATGCCTTCCCTTTCACTTATTTAAACTATACCAGGAGCTGCTTGTAAAGTGGTTGAGGGTCCATGAAAAGAAGTTGGGTGTAATCAGGTTTCTAGACTCAATGAGATTCTATATGGAAGGTTTGTTTAGAGGTTTGGAGATGAAATGAATAGTACTGGGTTTCAAGAATGTTTATAGAGAAAGTACACTAAGAAGGAGCGGATCCTATTTAAAGGCAGGAAGCAGACTTCAACCAGAGATCTAACTAATCAGAGAGGACAAATATTTGGCATCTGTGCTACCACCCACTCCCTCTGTGCCCAAATAGAACATTAGCAACTAACTGTCACTCCTATGCCAAGCCCAGACACAGCCCTAGAATCCTTCTCAGTGGGCTGTTGCAATCTGGATTAAGCAGGGGATATTCCTAAAGATGTGTATGGATCAGATGTATATGGATTGGCTAATACAAATTCCCATGGGTGGGGAAACAAGTGATGGAATTGAGCGATGCTGGTAGGCTGTGGACTAGTGGAATGTCAAGTGCATGGCCCACCTGAACAGGGCAGCAGGTACTCAGATTCAGACTTTACCCCACAGGAATCTGGGACCCATGCCACCAGATTTTTCAAGAGTAAATAGAAATCCAATTTTGACTAGGAATATCTTTATTTTTAAATGTTAGATCCAAAAAGAGGGGCAAAATTAATGCCATGTGAGCCAAACCAAATACACATGCAGTAAAAAGTAAATTAAAATACACCTGCAGGATAATGTAGCCCCTAGGCTTAGAAGAATTGGGAAGATTCCGGTTTGCTCTTATCTTGCCTGAACTACTTTACTATCATCCACGGCTTAAAAACAAAAGAAAACCATCTCACCAGGGCTTGAAGAGGGCATGTGACAAATTGCAGAAAATTATAGCCAACGTTTTGTGGTTGCTGATCTCCCCTGGGTTACATGCTAGCAGAGTCCTGAAAAAATAGGCAAACTTCAAAGATCAAAGTTTCCAAGGCTGCAGAGGGGACTTTTAAACCAGCTTGCTTTTGTCCAGATCCTCCCCCACCCCAACCCCTTTTTGTCAATCACAAAGCAGTTGTCTCAGAGCTCAAATTCTGACATTGTCAGAGGCTAATGACAACATCAGAGGCCATTTGCTTGGTGCTTATTTCAGTATTCCAACCCTGTCGTCTTGGTTTCCCTTTGGGTTGTTTACATACAATTTCCTTCTGGGTGGAACTTTGTTTTTCCTTTCCTTCTTTTGAGGCTGTTGTTTTTTCTTAAAATAGGAGGTCATTTCAGGCAGAAATGTGTTTTCGCCTCCATGCTTCCTCTATGGCTGGGACTGGGGCCCTTTTGGAAAAGAAGGAAATTTCCACTTTGTTTATAAGGAGAGATTGGTTTTCTTTGGATATCCCATGAATTTGCTGGGTAGGGAGTTTGGAGTTCCTAGGATTATCGAAGGAGATCAGGAAACTCATTTTAAAGGCATTTGTTTGATTTTTTTTTTAATTTTATACACTCTGCTTTCCTTATTCTTTTTCTCTAACCAGTTCACGTTTTTCCCATGAATCTAAACTTCCCATATGTCTGTCCCTGCATTTCAGCTCTCTACAATGTCTTCCCAAGATCTTTCAGCTTTTGTTGTCAATCTGGATAATTTGACCAACATTCTGGACCAATTCCAGCATGAGTCATAGTTTTATACTTTGGGTTGGAAAAGTAATTTTCCCTTTCCCTTTAAAACACAGCCATGACCCATTACTATTACTGGAAAAGACAGACTTGATCATGCATACCTTTCTCCACCCCATCCTCCCATCTTCACAGGCTACATCTGTCAAGCGATCCATCACTCACATCAAATAATGTCAATATGCACCCAGGTGGGTGTGGGACTGTTTTAGGCACCATTGAAAGTTTACCCTGGACCTAGGAGAATACATCCTATGTTAGAACATTAACCAAAAACAAACAAACAAACAAACAAATTCCAAGCATTCCAAAGCCAAACAGAATAAAATCCCTCTAGGTGAGTTTTGTGTGACTTTGATAGGTTTTATGCAAAAGAATTACTAATTTTAAAATAACTTATTCAAAAGCACTCCCAATATGTGATTTATTTAAATGACCATGTTCTCTAACAAATAATACTCAAAAACCTCAATTAAATGGATTTAAGCAGTCAGATCTCAATTTTGATCGTTCGGTACCATCCCATTCCATAAATGCTTATTGTTTATTCTAACCCTGAGAACAAAGGTAAATAATGAAAACTAAGGTACTGATAAGAAGGACTGAAATCAGGAAATAAGTGACCAAAGTAGTTTAGGATGGTGGTTAGGACCATGGACTTAGAGCCAGGCAGATGTGGGATGGCTACTCAGCCACACTGGTACTAGCTGAGTGGCCTCAGGCAAGTCACTTACTGTGTCTTATTCAATTTTCTCATCTGTAAAATAAGGATAATAATAGTGCCTGCTTCATAGAGTTGTTGTGGATTAATATGTTAAAGACATAGTAAGTGCTCATCACCACCAGTGTAATAATAATTCCAACGTTTATAGGGTACTGGCTATGCCTCAGACATTGCCTTCACTTGAATAACTCTGTGAAGTAGGTATTATTATTCTTGTTCTCATTTTACAGATGAGGAAATTAAAGATTCAGAGAAGTTAAGTCCAGGGCCACAGAGCTACTAAGTAACCAAGCCAGGATTCCAACCCAAGTGAGCTGGCATTGAGTCTGAGTCCTTAACCACTATGTAGCTTTATTGTTAACATCTTTTTAATGTGTAATGAGTCTTCATTATTCTAGGTGATGTCTGAGGTTATTTCATCTTTAACTCAACCTCTCATGTTGCCCATGACTGCATATACAATGTTGAACACTGAGCAGAGGTGTTCAAAATGGCAATTCTGTTCTCCATAGCAGAATCAGTTTCTCTCTCTCTCTCTCTCTCTCTCTCTCTCTCTCTCTCTCACACACACACACACACACACACACACACACGGATTTGGTTACCTTCCCTGGTCTCTACTTCCTAAGTCAGAGGAGTAATTGATATATTTCAAAAATATTTTCTATAGTATAAAAAGAGAAAGAGGTTTCTAATGCATTTTTGCTTTTTTAATTAACCAAGAACTAGTAACCTAAAACTCCTTGTTCCACTTAGCATTCTCGTTAACTGAGATTTTTCTGTATAATAAAATAAATACACATGGTTGAAATTACAGAGTCAAATAGCTTCAGCTCCAAAAGGGACAAACTACTCTAATTTATCTAGTTTCTAAAGAAGTAAACATTTTGATGTAAATTGTTAGTGAAAGTCCAAGTGACATTTTCATTGTTCTGAGAAATGAAATTTGAGAACTGGAAGGAGTAGGAGGATATGACATCAGAAACATACATATAAAACAGGGCCAGAACTTTGTCAGAGTAGTATATTCTAGTAATCAAGAAATTAACATATCACATATCACAGGATATATTTGCATTTTATAACAATATGCTGGTTTTTAATATAGCTTCCAGATTTTTTTTTAAGATTTTATTTATTTGACAGAGAGAGAGACAGCGAGAGAGGGAACACAAGCAGGAGGAGTGGGAGAGGGAGAAGCAGGCCTCCCGCTGAGCAGGTTGCCCGACATGGGACTCGATCCCAGGACCCTGGGATCATGACCTGAGCCGAAGGCAGACACTTAATGACTGAGCCACCCAGGTGCCCGTATTTTATATTTTACTTTACTATGCATGACCTTATTTGATTTGCACAGGAGAAATAATATTTACTATTAGGTGAAGTAAGCATTAGAAATAGTATCAATTCATTTTATGTAGGAGGAAACTGAAGCTCAGAGATCTGATGGCTTGACCTAGGTCACACAGCTAGTGATTTGCGAGCCATTACTGATCATGTCCTGCTATTTCTACTAGATCACAATTCCCACTGGCACTTTTGCTAACCTTAGTTTGATAGTTTACTTAGACCAAGATGGCTGTTCCCTAAGGGTCGGGAACCAGGAATGATTTCTGTGGGGAAAAACCCAGAAAAAGAGGTGGTTATGCATATGGGTATGCCCCTCCCAAACCACCTCAGAAAGCCCTAGGCAGTGTTGTAGAAAAAGAGGTCATTGACAGAAGAGGGAGAAGTTACAAGTCCCAATTTTCCCACATTTGGCTATGCTCATCTCACATTTTATTTTGTGTTAAAACTACTAGCTCTCCAGTTGAACTGCAGTGATTGAATCCTGGCTCCACTATTCACTAACATCTTTATGCCTCATTCATTTGTTGGTAGAATGGGACTTATGGTAGTAATGATTTTGTAGGGTTGATGTGAGAATTCAACAAGAGAACCTATATAAAAGGTTTAGCATTGTAACTGACTCATGGTAAGTACTTACTGAGCATCAACTATTATCATCATGATTGTTTTATGCAGAGCTATAAGTGGCAAAGAGGATTTGAACATAGCCAACCGAACTCCAGAGACCAGTTTCTTAACCACAAACCCATACTGGCTTTGTACTTGTACTGACTGTCCATCTGGAAAGCACTTTCCCTAGATACCCATCAGCATGGCTCACTTCCTCTCTCCACTTAGACCCCTGCTCAAATGTCACTTCCTCTTAATAACCTTTCCTGGCTGCCTGATCTAAAACAGTGCTCCTTGTTACTATGCCTTTAATCTGCTTCATTTTTTTTCATAGCACACATAGCAGCTTGATGATATATTGCATATATTTATTTGATTATTCTTAGATTATTGCTCTCTCCACCATTAGAAAGCAAGCTCCATGAAGGTAGCAGCTTGGGTTTGGCTCACATTGCTACCCTTATTGACCATTACACATTCAATTGCTTGCTGCATCAATGTATAAATTAACATAAGGAACCAAAATATGAATAAGATCTAGTTCCTTCTCTAAAGGACTTGTACTTTAGCTAGGGAGGGGCTTTGAAAAGGTCAACGGGAACACACCTAACCACCATGATAGAGTATGCCAAGGTTGAATGAGTGGTGCCAAGCCTCTTGGCACTCATACTCTGGGTCTTATCTTTTTGCTAAGGTGCTGACTTCTCCACCAAATCATTCTGACTGTTTAACCCTGATGAAATGTTCTAGAAGCAAACATTATAAAATCAAATGATACAATTTCAGAAAATCATTTCAAGAGAGTTTAAATACTCAACCCCACTATCTCTATAAATCAGACATAGCATTCTCTTGAGGGTGACATTCCCCAGAGAGTTTCAGAGAAAGCACATTAAGTTCTACTCAGAGCACATTTCTTTTTGGTATAATCTACTCCCAAGAGTAAACTGGGAAGTAGATACTTTACAATTGTTAAAGATCATGGGAGAGTGAAAAGCAAAATAGGCACTCAGCCTCATTCAGCCAAACTACTGGACTGTGTCTCCTGTGTGTGAGTCATTAATCAATCCCATTAAGTTATAATTCTTTGCCAAGCTAAGAAAACACAACCCAAACAGTAGCGAACACTTCCTCCCCTTGCCACTTAGCCCTCAATGGGAAGAGCAGCCTTCTAAAAACTTCAGTCTTCCTGAGATTAGCAGGTCTGCAAAATGTCCATTGGATTTGTCTAGAGAGAAAATGTGCCAAATTGGATGAAGTGAGAGAACACTGCTTGATTCTGACCACTCACACTCAAAACTATTTCCATAGCCCAGATAAAGCAGTGCAGAGCTACACAGGATGACATGCCTGAAACAAATCATTTACAACATGACTTCCTGCTGAGCAGTGTTCTAAGAAGTCCCATGGTGGATAGTTGTTAGCTAACACAGAACAGACCCTAGACTCTTGAACAGCAAATCCTTTTATATGACAAATGACATTGTGTGTGTGTTGATGAATGGTGACCACAGGAAAATGGCATGCTATAATAGAAACATCAATGGTTACAGCTGAGGAAGATTACACTGTACTTCATCAGAGAAGCTCACCTTGATTGGTTGTGATAGACCAAAGGGGTAAATAAGCCACTGGGGCAGTCAAATCCACATTCATAAACGAGGGCATAGCAAGTGCCCAGTATGGCTTATTTAAAGGGCAACACAGTGGAGCATAATTAATCAAGTGTCTGGTATATGTAATATTATGGGTTAGGGGTTAAAGAAATTAAGATGCACAAGACACATTCCTGCTGCTAAGGAGGAGGAAAGTACTAATTTAAATGTAAACTCATTTAATTTGGTTCTTGTAAGATTCTAGTTGGGTAGACAGAGCAGGTTCTATGAAACCCCATTTTATAGGTAAGAAAGCTAAGGCTCAAAGTAGTAAATGATGTACTCAAGTCTTAACATGAGTGAGGTCTGGAACTTGAACTTGACCTCAAGTCTTGGCCTCTTACTACTATATCACCCTGCACCGGGCTCCATCTTTAGACAACTGAAAAAAGTAGCCTTTCTTCAAATCAGTATATCCTTGCAAACATTATTTCACTTTCTTTCAGAAAACCATGATGTGCCCACATGACTGAAATAGTCAGATGATCTCAAAACTGAAGCTCTACTTCCACCCATAGTACAATTCAGGACTTAAGAATGGAAGGCTGGATGCGAGGTGCTTGGGAAGATCAGAGGGTCCCAAAATTCTGATTTTGCTCTGGATTGGATCCTATACTGTATAAGTGGTCCAGAATTAGTATATTTACTCTACAGCTTTCACCTCCTTCACTTGGCTTCCTTTCAGTGAGCTCTTATTGTACTTTTAGTTCAAACGCCACTTCCAGATGGTTTTGATCATCATTGTGATTATGGTAGCACTTTTACCTCTATTTCTATTTCTAATGAAACAATGTTTTCTACCCTGTATTATCATTACTCGTGTATATTTTTATGTCACCTCTGAACTTAAAAGCCCTTTAAGACAGTATTTATAATCAAATATTATTTCTGTTAAGAGACAACCAGCATGAACTCTTGAATTTGATGTGTACAGTTTGTTGAATATATAAATGACTCTTTCTCTGGTTTCCACTCAGAGCTGTATCTTCTTCCAAAGACTTCTGCTTGCCTTCAGTCCTGCCTATAGAAGGTCCCTTTTCATCAGTTGTCTTTTTTATAGTTCTTGAGTTCCATGGTATTTGTTTCTTCTAACCATTTCTTGAGCCCATCTTGAGGAAAAGTTCATAAGATTTTCAGTTCTGTCAAAAATGTTACTGGTGATCCAGTCAAGCCAGCTTCATCATGGATGAAGAAAATTTGCCAATCAGTATTTGAGAGAGAGGTACTTTTCTTTACCCCGTAGCCTTGAAAAGCCCCAGTGAGTAAAAGTGTTAGATTTCCTCCAGTCCTGAAATCTTTGGATCTTCTGGAAAATTAGGAATTCCTGGCAAAATATGTCTTAAAGAGAGAGATTGGGGTTGGGAGAGATAGTAGCTCATGTAATTCAGTCTCTTTATTTTACATATGAAGAATGGAAGGCCAAAATGGCCATGTAATTTGCCTGAATTCACCCAACTGCTTAGTGGAAGGCCCAGACTAAACCCAGGTGTCCTAGCTACTGGTCCTCTGAGGTGTTTTGTTTTGTTCTGTTTTTTCTCCACCAATATGAACTTCATCTCTTAAAGAAAATAAATCCTACTGATATTTTATCTACTGTTTTTGTTAGACTGGTTTGGTTCCTTGAGTCTTCCTCTTGTCCTCCTGCCTATTCAGAGTGCTAGGCCATTCTGAACTAAGAGCTCAGTCTCCATGGCTCCAAGAGGCCACCATCAAGAAAGAATGCACTCCCAAGTGTCCATCCATTGGTGAATGGATAAAGAAGGTGTGGTATATATACACAATGGAATATTATTCAGCCATAATAAAGAATGAAATCTTGCCATTTGCAATGGCAGATGGAGCTAGAGAGTATTATGCTAAGCGAAATAAGTTAGTCAGAGAAAGATAAATACCATACGATTTCACTCACATGTGGAATTTAAGAAACAATACAAATGAGAAGTGTGTGGATGGTTTAGTTGGATAAGCATCTGACTCTTAATCTCAGCTCAGTTCTTGATCTCAGGGTCATGAGTTCATGCCCCACGTTGGGCTCCATGCTGGGCACGGAGCCTACTTAAAAAAAAAAAAAAAAAAGAACACAAAAGAGCAAGGCAAAAAGGAGAGAGTGGCAACCCAAGAAACAGATTCTTAACTATAGAGAACAAACTGATGGTTCGCAGAGGGGAGGTGGGGAAGGGGGACGGGTGGAATAAGTGATGGGGATTAAGGAGTGCTTTTGTTGTGATGAGCACCAGGTATTGTATGGAAGTGTTGAATCACTCTATTGTACACCTGAAACTAATATTACACTGTATGTTAAGTAATTGGAATTCAAATAAAAACTTTAAAAAATAAAGAGGGAGAAGGCTCTTAACTCACCTCCTGGGCAGTGCCACTTTCCCTAATTAGACAGGGGATACTTGTTTTAAATCTGTCAGCCTAGAGTCCTTCATTACCTGGCAGAACTACTAGATCATGCCCAGACTTACCTTGGTTGGTAGAAACGAATCTACAATCCACGGGGTGCATGATATTACACTCACTCAGCATACTTTGATTCTAGAATCAAATAGTTTTATTAGAACCCTTGTTATAATATTACCACTTTAGCGACCTCATTTTCTAGTACTACCTTCTTTTTTTTACTACCTTCTATCTTTTAATATTTTGCCTTTTTCATATTTATTCTCATATTTATTTTGAGAGGTGATTATTTTGTGGGATATTACTTGAATTTAAAAGGATAAACAAAAAAACCATTTATATAAAAAATATGAATTTGTCAAATGCAATGTTTTAGAGCAAGCTGTAATGGAAAGAGCCCTAGATCTGAAATCAGAAGATTGAAGTTCAAATCTAGCCTCTCACCAGCTCTATAATGGTTGCAAATGACTGAGATTCTCTGAGCCTCAATGTGCCTACTTGTAGAAGAGAGATAATAATCCTATGACATAGAATCTGGGGAAAGGTGAGCAAGAAGTCATTAAATGGGTCTGGTATGGTGCCTTTTGTGCTACATAAGTTCTCCCTACATGTTGACTCGGTCTGAAAGCGAATGATTTTTGGTATCCTAAGAGCAACTTTGTTTATCAAAGTTTCTTTCATCATTGCTTTGGTTTCTTTTTTCTTGTAGGGTCAGCACTTTCTATCATGTGTTTTAGAAATGCCGAATTAATTTTAAAAAATCAAATTTAAATGAAATGGAAAGATATCATGGTGCACATTACTAAACTACTTATTACATATGTACCTCTTGAGTTTAGAAAAGTGTTTATGCAGAAATAGAAAAATAGATTATACAGTTGTTAAATTCAGGCAACATTGCACTTAGGAGGGCAGCAGTAGGAGTGAGGATGTCACCCAGAGCAAAATATTAGTCTGAACACAAGATCTTTCAGAATGTACTAGAAAATCAGAAGTCTGCCCTAAATTGAACACTGAAGAGGTCCTGGATTTTTCTTCTTTTTTATGGAGATCAAATGGCAGTCTGACCAACCATGTTTTAAATCGAAAAAAAAGCAACATTAACGTTTTTACATGCAATTCCAAAATAGTATTAAAATTAGTAAGTTATCAGCAAGCACATGACCCCACAATCCAGATATTTTCTTATTACATTTTACCTTCCACATAACGCAAGTTTCAGATAAGGCGCAATCATATTTTGAATTCTACTAACTCTCCCTTACATTATGTTATAAACATTTTCCATTTATTTAAATGGCTGCATAATACAGTTCACCATGCTCCTGAATCTAAATTTAATCAGCTCTTCCCCTGATCTTAGACATTTATTTGGAAGTCGAATTAAATTCTGTGATTAAGAGGTTTTTAAATAGCTCCTACAGTTTTCACGTCAGAATTCCCTTGCCTTCCCAGTCCCCGGGGCCATCTCAGTTATGCAGAGTGAAACCAGAGCATGTGGAACTAAGCTCTCCGAGGTACTCTTCTGGGCCAGAGGGGACAGTGAGGAGCAAGGGAGGAACAAAAACAAGCAAAAACACCTTGTTTTAATGTTTGTCTTTAGTTTTTAGATGGAATGACTACTTGGTTTCCTTATGTGATTTTCTTTGACCAGCCACTTATTCTAAAGCTGTATCCCTTTGGCCATGTAGAGACAGCCTAAAAACAGGGGCAGGGAAGAATTCTGGACATATTTTAATGTCTGTCTGCATTGTTTTATATCTTGTCTTGTTATAAAAATGACATAAGGCAGCTCACTTTGGGGATTTTTCTGAAGGATTGAAGACCTTTAACAATGCTCATTTCCCCACTATTCCTAGAGCATTTCCATCAGTTATAGAAGTTGAATTCTATTTCTTAGAGCTTTACTTCATATTACAGGTATGTAATATCTTCATTCCTTTCTATTTTACTTTCTATAGCAATCAATTTGACACCAACAGTTTCATATCAGCATTCAGGGGTTATTAACAATTGGTCTCACATTTGTCTTGGTTGTATCTCTTGTGTAATTACAACCTGGATAGAGTATTATTTGTTCAACCTTCTGAGGTCACAGAGCAATCTTTTCTGGTTCATATCTGTGCTAATCAGCTAAGAAGCCATGGGTTAAGTTATGACAAAACTAAATGTTGAAGATTTCTGAATGCAGGCTTTACAATAACATGCAACTAGCTGGGCTTTGGAACCCCAGCTGTATAGGACTGGGAATGTCCCATCGTTTGTTGCAATGTGAAATCATTTCGTCACAAGGTTTGCTCAGTAACTGCATGATTTTTTGTTTGTTCGTGGGTTGGGTTTTTTGTTTTATTTTGTTTTGTTGTTTTTTTGGTTTTTTTGTCTGTTTGCTTTTGTATTTGCTGTGTGTCAAATTTCTGTATTTTGGGCAGTGCCAGGAAGGCATTTTGGAAATAAGAGGAGAAGAATCTGATCTCTAACAAATATAAATCTTTGCCCTCTATGGAACTTTAAAACTGAAAGACTGTTTTCCACATGCGGCCCTCATAACAACCCGGTGAGATAGGACAGGAATGAGTATCCCCATTTTATAGGAATGAAACGGAAACTCAGATTCTGTGACTTCCTCAAATCCATCAGAGCTGGAAGATGGAAGACACCGGATTCAAACCCCCTGATACTCCAACCTGCTTTCCATCATTCACAGCTGTAATTAAAATGTTTATGAAGTAATTCCTCCCTTTGAGGGTTTTCTGTAATTCCTAGTTGCAAATTTGTTTTACCACAATCAAAGTCAAGGAGAAATCTGTGCTTGTGAAATGACTTCTTCCTTTGATGTGCTTTTACTCTCCATGGAATGGCCCCAACAGCTAGTTCTCTCCCCCATGAAAGAGCTCATTTTTTTTGTCGCGATGGTACCCAATAAAGAGTGAGACTTCTCAAATCAGCTAACAGTTTGGGGCTTCGTATTCTACATCTTGAGGGACAAGAAATGTTGACCTCCCTGGCTAGTGGTAAATCTTCAACAAACCCAGGTAGCTTGTCTCCTGGGTTCCCATGTTTCCTCTCTTCACTCAGCCAAAGTCCACATTCCTTTCCCTGTCACCACACAGAGTTTGACCCCAGGCCAGGGTGGCACCTCCCTCCAACCCTTTGAGGTCACAGCCAGTGCTGCTCTGTGGACTCCCTGGCAGTGGGCATTTGGGGACAGCTGCTGCCGGAACCTTCTGCAGCAGCCCCTGCACCTTGCTTGACAATGGCCTTGTGTTCTCCCTGGCTCACTGGGTGGAAGACCCATCCCGCTTGGCCCAGGCCTCCCACCAAGTGTGTTACTTGGGGCCCTTAAATGAAACAGGATGGTGGTTGACAATTGGAAGTTACTTAACCACCATTACCTCCTCATCATCCCCCGGCTGCTTAATTCAGCTAGAGGTGTCAGGAGCCCACCGTAGAGAGGTTTGGGATTGTGGTGAAAAAATATGAGTTATCTTGTAAGTCTTCCCCACCTCACCCCCCATACGTTGCTTGAAAAATGAGAGGGGTGCCGAGTGCAAAGATATTTTTCCATGTAGCTTGGGGGGAAAAACAAAACAAAACAAAAAACAAAAGCAAAAAAAACCAAAAACCTTGCCCTAATATCTGAGAACATTTTTATGAAAACCTGGGATGAACCACTCTAAGACTGATGCCCCATCAGCAAGGTCGGAGAACAACAGCACCGTCTACTGGACAAAGGACTGAGTTTATTGGTGGTGTTCTGTGTAGTGGCCCCAGGAAAATATGGGTGACTCTGTGGGCTAGTGTACAGGATGAAAAGCCATGAAAGAGGAACCAGCCATTTCTACACTTAGCAGATCCCAGGAGAGGCCACTGCTAAGGGACACTGTTCCCCAAACAAATTCCAGGGCTTGAGAGTCACCCTTAAAAAAATTAAACAGTTATTCCCTATACATCCACACCACCCCCATCCATCTACTGTAATTTTTATGAGGCTGCCTCCACCATCAACACTTATTAAACACCCTCTCACCTTGACACCCACACATTCATTCCTTTATTCATTCATTCAGCACCAGACTCTGTGCTAGGCGGTAGGGACTAGTAAGACCCAGCGTCTTTGAGCCATTCTATGGGCATCCAAGACTGGGCCTGGGCAGGAACCTCTGTTCCCACACTTTCTCTATCAGTTTCCTTTCAATTCCTGTCCTGAGTCTTGTTCTCTGCTAAGTGGGATATTGGGGGTAACCATATAAATTCACCAGGCTGTGATAGTAACCAGGTAGTGTTTCTTCTCCCATCTAAATTCAAACTCTTGGGTTCTTAAGAAGGCTATTCAAGAATGATCCTAATGTTAAGTTCTTCAGGTAATTTGACAGATAAACACAGAGGACAAAGGGGCTGGTATGTTAGATCTATGTCCCTCAACCAATCAGTTATAGTCAGTGGCTACCTTTTTAATTGATGCAAATACCAGCTCTGGCCAACAGTTAGAACACAAAGAAAGCTCGAATTTCCTTAGGCAGAATTATTTGGTACGAATATATCTTTTTAGAATTTTTCATTATTAATGAATGTGTGTAAAAAATGTATAACCAAGTCTTTAAAAATCAAGTAGGCTACAATGATATCATCAGGAAGAGAAAATAAATAATGTTAATATTGAGGTGGAATACCTCTTTGAAGATGTTGGAGAAATGAAGGCAAATAAATACATGAGCCATATCTATTCATCATTAGAACAAACTTTCTCCTCGGGCGCCTGGGTGGCTCAGTTGGTTAAGCGACTGCCTTCGGCTCAGGTCATGATCCTGGAGTC